CCCACTCAGTGTAACCAACACGTAACTAGGCATCTGCTCCAGGCCAGGCCCTGGGCTGGAGGCACAGACACTGTCCCTACTTTGAATAAATTTATGATTGGGGCGGTGACTGACTCCCTATTTCTGGTTAAAGTATTTCTAAACAAAGGATTTCTCAAGATTTAAAAAGAAGGAACGAGGGTTGGGTGAGATGGGTAGTCCAGGCATACTGAAAAACATGTGCAAACCTTTACTCCTCCCTACATAATGTACTACTCCAGGGGGTCTTGGGGTTGGTCTCTGAACTAGCAGTATCAGCAACACCTGGGAGCTTGTTATAAATGCAAATTCTTGGATCCCGCCCCAGTCCTACAGAATCAGAAGCTCTGGGGGTGGGACCCAGCATTTGTGTTTAACGAGCTATCCAGGTGACTTTAGAGCATGCTAAAGTTTAAGCACCTCTCTCAAATATCAAAATCTTTTCATTATTCATTCTTAGAAAAGCATCCTAAAAGAGAAGCCATCAGACTCAACCTCCCATGCAAAATTTCTTTTTAGAGGTAACATCATCCTTACCTTTTCTATCTCCTTTGCTCCCAACTACTCCCTTGCTCCCTACTGATTTAACACCAACTATAAAAGAAAGAACTCAATTATATTAAATATTGCTAGTGATTTATCTGCCACTTGTAGTGACTTTTCTGCAGTTTCATTTACTTCTGCCTCACTGGTAAGTACGCTATTCTTGAAATGCTTTTCTCCCTTAGTTTCTAGGAATTGTATCCTCGACTCCTGGTTCTTTTCCATTTTATTTTTTCAGGATATTTCTTTTTCTGTGCATGTGATAAAAAATTAAACAGTAGTACATGATTAAAAATTTAACACTCTCACTCCCTAGAGACTCGCTAAACTTTTCTCTTTTCAATTCTATAGGTATAAGCTAAATAATATGCTTATGAGCCTATTTTGAAATTTATTATCTTGAAGATACCTATCGACTCCTTAGTCTGAGATGAAAATTTAATTTTCCAAACTCTTTCACTTAACGTTTATATTAAGTTTTACTTGTTTCCTATGTTTCTTTAAATATACCTCTGTAGTTCTGACAGTTTCCAATAATTTGTTTTTTATTTCAACCTAAAAAAATCAAATTTATTCATGTATAATTTAAAAATAAAAATGATTCTACAGTATTTAGTGAAGAGTCCCCTGACTCCTTGCTCCCTCATAATTGACTCTCACTCCCTAAAGTAATTAATCTCAACCATTTTAGCTGTTTCTTCTAGTATTTGCTTCCATATTTCTAAAAAACATGCTTTTACTTCTGTTTCTTGATTTTTCAGTTCTAAATATTATCTGATCATGTCCTATTATAGAAGATAAGTATTTAACTCTTAGATTTTCCTCTCCACCAACACATCCCAAACCCCATGCTACTAATATTTCATGCATCATCATGATGCTTGGTTGGACTGGTTTTACTATAACATCTTAGAATGTTTATATAAATGTTACTCATCCTGAGCCAACTATCAAACTATGATTACACTTTCTTTCTTTCTTGTTTTTTGGTAGAAGTTTATTTTCCCCAAAGTTAATAATTATCTCATTTTGTCTAATTTTTAATACACTTATCATTAATGCAGCTCCAAACTTCCCAACTGATCTCAAACTTCTAATTCAGTTAAACATGAGATAATCTGTTTCTCTTTTTTCTCTCTCTAATTCAGAGGCGTCTCTCTTGGAACCCTCTTCTCTCCTGCTCCAATTTGGACAAGTTGTTCTCTGTGCCTGCTACACAGCTATCTGGGACTTCACTGTTCTTTAGCATTGGATTTGCTCGCTCCCCTTTCTGTCTTAGCTCTTTTGCTGGAGTACATCCTCAAGTAACCGGTGTCATCTGAATCTCTTGCTCTTATGTAAGTAGCTTATACTTTTCTCCTTGAAAATTTTAGAATGCCTACAGGTATCGATCTTGTTTTATTTCTCCTGCTTGCTGATTAATGGACCTTAAGCAGAATTTATGTCATTTCTGTTATTTTTGTTTTTATTTTTGCAACTCCTATTTGTTGGATCTCCTGAATTAATCCGGCGTCTTATTTTTTCTCTTTCATTTTCAATCTAAGGTTTACAAGAGACGTCACTGTTTTCTATATATTATCTTAATAAGTAGGGCATGTCTCTCTCTTCTAACCAGCAGCTGGGCCCTCTTACATCAGGTTTGTTTGTTTGTTTTTTGTGCTCTGGAAAATGCCCTCGAAGGACCTCTCCAACTACTAGACCCTTAATCAGTGTCCCCGATTTCAGACTCTCTTCTGTCCTCCCTACTTGCTGCTAACTCCAACCCTTTGTCCTCTGTCTTTGTCTCCACTGTTTTCATTCATTTATTCATTCAACTGATTATCTTTGAGGTATACTGTGTCAGGCAGTGGAGATGCCAACATTAAAAAACTTTGGATGGTTTTATTTACCCCTTCTGTTTCTAGCACGAAAGTCTAGCCCCCGACCAGCAACAGTACATTGCCCATGCCTGCTGGACATTTCTGCCCCTAGGTGTCCCAAAACATAATGTTCTCTTTCCTAATAACCTCCTCCTGAATTTCCTAGATTGGTTAAATCTGCCCATTCTCCTATGCTCTAAAATGTCTGGAAAATCTCTTAATGTACCCAGAATGAGCCTCGCAAGTTCCTTTAGTGATAAAAATCCTTTATATGCTCTTTTTATCTTTCACATTCTTGAAAAAAAAAGTTAATTTTTTTTTTTTTTTTTAGCAGAGAGGCTGGGTTACCTGATTTTGTTCAAAAAAGATTTTATAGTAATACCACAGGCAAAAGAGCTGAACCGGCATACTATCAAACTACAGAAGCAAATATAATTGGGAACATTTAAAATGACCCCTCATAGCCAAATCTATCTCCACTGATCGATCTATAATCAGAATGAGAAACCATCAGACTTTAAGGGCAGAAATATCTACCTCATTATTACACCTAGAGACAGCAATTTAAACTGTGGGGACAAGCTTCCAGGAGTGCTGGCTGTCTCTCCCACCCTTTTCCCCTTCTCCACCCTGCAGTCTGCTGACCCACACCTTAATCTTCCCTGTGCAATCAGCAGTTGCTGACTGCTTCGCATGATACACTGACAATAAGTCTTTTCCACATCATCAGACACAATTATCTGACCTTCTCTACTACTCTGCCAATGGGCTGACTCACCTGATAATAAAAATAATTACCTAGTGACAAGTCAGCTGTGATCACTGTATTGCTGGTACTACTCCGTGCACATTGTTTTAATTAAAGTGAGTACACTATGCAACTGAAAGGCATCTGATGCAGGACATAAGAGTATCCTGGGCTTTGTGTCTAAAGCCTTTGGCAGCACATACGCTCCATACCCATAACTGTACATTGCGATCGTCAAAATCCCAAAGGATTCTATTAAGCTTTTAATAACATATTAAAAAAAAATAACACCAACTAATGTGATTAATGCAAGAGAACATTCTGAAACCAAATATCATTTTCTTCTTAAAATACATACGGAAATAAGAAAAATAAAGAACTCCTTCAAAAGTATGTTCATAGTGGCAATAAGGCTGAATGAAGTGTTAATTCTACATTGAAGAGCATGAGTTCATTTTCATCTAAGGTACTTTTTAATAGCTAATATTTTACATTGTGTCTTCTCATTTCTTTGTGAAGAAGGTGGAGTTGAAAACACTATACTGGTGTATGAAAATATCAATAATACCAGATTTTGCTAAGGGAACTTTTTCGTCTTGCCCTAGTTATCATTTGAAATAATTTCCTCTTACAATTATAACTTAACCGCCCATGGCTGGGAGGTTGAATAGTTGCCCCTAGGGCCTCTAGGGGTCAGTCTAACTCGAAAAGAAAGGAAACACAGCGAACAAGAAAAAGTGAAGGATTTGCAGGCTCTGATGAGGGCAGAGGGAGAGGAATGTGAGGTAACCGTGTAAGTTTCCACAGAAAGTGAGGACAAGTAGGAGTGGGGAAGCTGACTCCAAAGCCAGTTCACATAGTGTTTTGGTTTGTGCTCAGCAGAAACTTGGGGACTCAAATCATTGAATAATATATTGTGAATCGCAAACTCTCTTGAAACTACTAATAGTATTTTTGATTCCCTTCATACGTGCTGAAAGCCATTTACCTTTTTAACGTCTGTTTTGGCACTTAGACAATTGAGATGTGAGAAATAAGCACCACAAATTGGTTCTCCCAAAAGTAACGTTTTTTTTTTTTAATTCAAACTTATTATCCTAAGGCTAGAATGATCCGAGGAGCTGGCTAGCCCTCTCTCTAAGGTACTTAACGGGGGGGTTTTAGTCTTTTTACCTATAAACCATTTAACACCACCTCTGAAGAAGATGCTGCCTCTCACTACACGGTATCAATCTCAGAGACATCTGAAATGCTGAAAGTATAATGAGGGGTAATCAACGGCACACATTATTTTTACTTCCTGGTATATTTCTCTGTGCCTCTGGACAATACTCTTGGGGACCACGGCTGATAAATAATTGTCTGCCCTAGTCGATGACTACTATGCAGTGAGAGTTTAACAGGGTTGGCAATCACTTATGCAATAGGAAAAACAGCATTATATTTCTCCCTTCTTTTAAAGGGAGTGGAAGAAACAGCACTTGGGCAGTTCAGTAACAGTTTTTGGGCATAAGAAAAGAAATCATTTCCTATTCCTTACAAATTCTGATTTACAAAAGAACACTGGAAGCTAAAAGCCTTGTTGATTTATCATGTGAAGCAGAGAGTAATTTTTCTCCCCTTGTTATGCTTTCATATAATCATGCTCACTGCCTGTATGGGTGGCATTAAAGAATTTCTGAATAAAAATAATAATTTCTTGCTTTCAACCTTCATAATTCACATCAGCAAGCATCCTGCTGGGCGGTGATGCCTACTGCCAGTGACGCTCAATCTTTTTTGCACGCCACTTATCTGCCCCGCGCAGCTGCGAGTTCCATTGATCGCAGTACCTGCAGGATAATGCGCCCGTAGGCGTTCTTCAGCAGATTAACCACGTCCGCGTGAGACAGCCCATCCAAAGGTTGCCCATTAATGCTGACAATTCGATCTCCAACCTGGAAGTACAAAAGTGGTAGAAAATCACTATCATTAAGAAAAATTAAATTTGAGAAGAATGCTTAAAATTCTTTGGAAGTCATATTTCCCATTTGTCACTATTGTGAAGAGTCTGTGTTTCTACTGTGTATGCATGTTCCAGAAGCAGGAGGAATTTTTATGGCTTTCCCCAAATACAGACCAATCAGAGAAACAAGAAGGGGGTCAGATTTGATTATTACAAGGCACGGCAGGCCACTTTTGTATTTTGGTAATGGTGGTGTTTCATACATCCATTCGCCAGTAATAATAGGATGTACAAATTAACTGTTCACTAAAGCTCTAATGAGGAAGCGAAATATTTTCTGCTTTATTTTTCTACCTAGGTTAAGATTAATGGGCAATGGAGGAAAATCATAAGAATGTTGATTCTTTTGGTTGAAGGAAGATTCTAAGGTAAAATCTCTCAGGTGAAAATCAATTTTGGGTGGAATGAGCTGCTAAAAAAAAAAAAAAACAGTATGGGAGCCTTTGCAAAATGAGCTGCAATTTCTTCTTTTGAGAAGCTTTGATACAAACAATAATATTTTTATATGCCCAGGGACCTAATGAATTTCAGGTATAAACTTTCTCCAACGCATTTTGCCCTCAGCATGGGTCTCTGATGGCTGTTGGAATTCTAACTTTAAACAAAGTGCCCACGGCTGCAACTTCCTTTCCCACCCCACCACATGCTGTTAGCACTTCACCATTCCCCTTTTGTTTACTTTAAGCTTCTGTGTACGTGCAGCCACACCGCTGGCCTGAATCATGGCAATAAATATTGGGATATCTCCTAAGGGACTTCCTTTTCCTCCAGCAATACTGATTCCAAGGGCATCACTGAGCTCCTAAAAAAAAAAGAAGAAAAAACATAACACATATTTAATAAAGAGCCACAACCTGATTGTCCCTTGATAGCTGCTAAGCAAAAAACTGTGATGCAGGAGGCCAGGGTAACAAAGGAGTTAAGTGCAGGGCCTTTGAAGTCAGAAAGACCTGTGTTTCAGCTCTAGTACTTAATTAGCTGGAGGGTCTTCAGGATGTTCCTTAACCTCTTAGAGCTTCCATCTCTAAGCAAAAATGGAAGAATACCATCTCACAGTCGGTTTGAGGTTTAGATGAAGTGATATAGTACAGTCCTGGCTTACAGAAGAGGCTCAATAAAAGGCAACAGTATAAGTTAAAAATAAAACAAAACACAAAAAGCCCTGCACACAAAAAACCCTATGTGACTGCTCAGTTTAGTGGCCAATTTTGATGCAGACTTGGCAAGGATGTTCTCATATGGTGTTTATAATTAAACTGCCACACATATCATGCTCTTTTGGGTGTGAACAAACATGCTTGGCTCTAGGAGAGCTGCATGACTACATTAAAACAAAAGATCTTAAAGGACACTCACTAGAATGACAACAGAGTTTGGAGAGAAGTAAAACTTGACTGCAAATGTTCCCTAAGATTATTAGGAGAAGCAACATGGTTCACTCGGACCCTGGTGAAGAGATCTTGGCTTTAGTTCTGGTTTTTCTCACATTGATACCATAGGATTAATATTTAAAAAAAATCACTAAAAGAATAAATGACAAGTTCCAGATTCAGCATGGTGGCATATGCATACTATAAAATCTCTCTCCTGCTGATCAAAAAAAAGAACTTGTCAAAATACAAAAGAACAACTACCTGAGACTTTTGAAAAGTAAAGAAACTCAAGTTGTGATGGAAAGCCAACACTTGGAGGAGAGACATCAGGGATGAATGTCCTGGTTGTTTTCCTGGCAGTATTGTCTTCAGAGCAAGACAGAGGCAAGGAGCTGTGGAGGTGGTACATACTAACACTCTGACAGAAACTCCCATCTTCCTGGTCAGAGAGATCAGAAAAGGAGCTCCTGGTCATGGGAGAATAAAGGAAGAAAGCTAGAGCCGAGAGAATCGGAAAAGGGGGTTTTCTAATTCTGTGAGTGAACCCATAGAATTCTCAGGCTCATCTCTAAGCTACACATGTGTGAAACAGACCCAAACTAGAGAACTGAACCACCACTCATGAAAGGGGAGACAGAACTTTCAGTCCAAACCTAACTGGGTTGACTGCATCCTAAAACATAAACATCAGCATTCTTCAGAGTCTATACAGCATAGCGTTCATGAGGTCCAGGACAAAACCTTAAATTACTAGACATGTAAAAAAAAAAAAAAAAAAAGTGACCAGGAAAACGTGACCAATTTTCATCTTGAATTCTTTAAAATATGTAAGACAGCTGAAAGCCAAAATTATAACACTGTTTAGTGGGGTTCTCAGTTTATGTAGATATAAATATATGACAACTATGACATAAATGCTAGCGGATTGGTTGTGGTAAAGGGACCTGTATGGTTGCAAAGCTTCTACAGTTTTAATTAATCATCTGAAAACACGCAGCTTAGTGTGCTTCAATTTAACTTCAGTCAATTTGGAAAAAGCAAAAAGAACAAAATGACAACAAAACCCATATATGAAAGAACTTCAAAAACTCACATCATATAAGTGTGAAGAATTATTCTTTAGTATTAATATTACTAGCTACTGCCATGTTGTGCTTATAAGACAGAATAATGGTAATGCTGACCTATCCAGTAACAGGTGGCCTACGTCCTGTTGTCCAAAGTATTTGTGTCTAGCTTATATTTTCTGAATGCATCGAGAATAAAGCCCTGTGTTTAAAATGGCAAGATGTGTTTCATTATGATTTTTCTGCTTGGACCGTGTGTGGGCAAATAGGATTGGTAGGGTCAGGCCTTATAAAAAGCCTATAAAAACAAGTGGCTGAAATGACGAAGCAGACATAAAATGATACTTTATAAATCTTGGAATGAGGAGAAATTTATGCAATAACTTGGTTTTGTTCAAATTCATCATGACGTTTCCTTAATTTATCCAAAATTATGTACATGTTGGTATATTTCACTTCCCCTATTAAAGGAACATCTGAGTTGAAACTCAGGTGGAAAGATACTGGGAACAAATAAGGCACGTGTAGTCGAAGATGTAGCCAACAATAATGGATGTCACTTTCAGGACTTCATGATGCACTAGGTACTATGCACTACCTCATTTAATCCACACAACAATATTTACCGTGTGAGGTAAACAGTGTTATTATTCTCATTCTACAGATGAGAAAATTGAGGTTAAGTAACTTGCCAAAAGTCACAGAGCTAATAAATAGCTGAGTGCCCTCAAACACAGCTAGGACTGACTTCAGAGAATAAGCTATGCTGGATATCACATTATTGTAGTTGAACTATGATTAAAACAATGTCATATTTTTTTATGACTTCTTGAATCCCAAATTTATTGGTCAATGTCATTGAAATAGAAGTCTACTTCCTAATATTCTGGATATCACACCAGGAGTTTGAAATTCAGGACTTGACAAATTTACTGAAATGCATTTTATGCAATCTTCTGAGGAGGACAATTTAGCAATATGCATAAAAGTCTTTTTTTTTTTTTTTTTAGGTGAGGCAACCCTTGGTTGACCTCACAGATTGCAAGGACCTTGTCATCTTATAATCTCTTATCATTCATTCATTCATTCATTTATTTATTTATTTTTATGCCTGCAGCACCTGGTCTTCCTAGGTGGTCTCCCATCCAAGTACTAGCCAGGCCTGACCCTGCTTAGCTTCCTAGATCAGATGGGATCGGGCTTGTTCAGGGTAGCATAGCCATAGACTTAAAAGTCTTTAACAACAAGTATGGCTTTTGACTCTACAATTTCACTTCTAGGAGTTAATCCTGAGGAAATCACCCATGATATGAACAAAAAAGAAAATACAAAGGTATTTTGCTTTAAAAGACAGCAAAAATTTTTCAGAGAGCTAGAACAAATAATCCTAAAGTTTATATGGAACCATAAAAACCATGGCAATCTTGAGAAAAAAGAACAAAGTTGGAAGTATCACACTACCTGATATCAAACCATACTACAAGGCTACAGTAATCAAAACAGCATGGTACTGGCATAAACACAGATACATTGATCAATGGAAGAGAATAAATCCACGCCTATAAGCCCACTTAATATATCACGAAGGAGGCAAGAACATACAATGGGGTAAAGATAGTCTCTTCAATAAATGGTGCTGGGAAAATTGGACAGATACAAGCAAAAAAAAAAAAAAAAAAAGAAAAAAGAAAGAAACTGGACCACCTTCTTACACCATATACAAGAAGAGATTCAAAATGGATTAAAGACTTAAATGTAAGACCCCAAATCATAAAACTTCTAGAAGAAAACAGGCAGTAAACTCTGATATTGCTAACAGTAATTTCTTTTCAAATATATCTCCTTGGGCAAGGGAAACAAAAGAAAAAATAAATAGGACTACATCCAACTAAAAAGCTTTTGTACAGTAAAGGAAACCACCAACAAAACGAAAACATAATCGACTGAATGGGAGAAGGTATTTGCTTATGATACACCTGGTAAGAGGTTAATATCCAAAATGTATAAAGAATTCATACAACTTAACAACAGCAAAACAAATTTAAAAATAGGCAGAAGACCTGAAGATATTTCTCCAAAGAAGAAATACAGATGGCCCATAGACATATGAAAAGATGCTCCAGGTCACTAATCATCAGAGAAATGCAAATTAAAAGCACAATGAGATATCACCTCACACCATCAGAATGGCTATCATCAATAAATCAAAGAACAAGTGTTGGTGAAGATGTGGAGAAAAGGCAACTCTCATACATTGTTGGTGGGATTGCAAATTGGTACAGACACTATGGAAAACAGTCTGGAGGTTTCTCAAAAAATTAAAAATGGATATACCTTTTCACCCAGCAATTGCACTTTCCGGTTATTTATCCAAAGAAAACCAAAACGATAATTCATAAAGATCTATTCACCACTATATTCATGGCAGCACAATTTATCTATCTATCTATCTATCTATCTATCTATCTATCTATCTATCTATCTATCTATCTATCTATCCCCTCCCCGCTTCCACCCCTGACCTACGGATGTTGCCATCTCCCCTTAAGAACTGGATCTCTGAAGGTGGGGCGTCTCCTCTCACATGCCTGTGGCGTACACCCTGGGGCCTGGCGCACCCGGGGTATGGGCCATGGCTCCACTGGGGCTCGAACCCAGGATCTTTTGCGTGTAAAGCAGATGTGTTAACCACTACTCTAGTAGCACACACATGCATGGACCTAGAGGTTATTATGCTGAGTGAAATAAGGCAGACAGAGAAAGATAAATACCACATGATTTCACTTATATACGGAATCTAAGGAACAAAAGGAACAAAGCAATCAAAAACAAACTCACAAATATAGAGGGCAATCTGGTGACCGCCAAAGGGGACGGGGGTTGGGAGGCTGGGCGAAAAGGAGTGAAGGATTAAAGAAGTACAAATTAGGAGTTGATAGATGGTCACGGGGATGGGGAGCACAGCATAGGGAATGCAGTTAGTTTAGCATTAATGTAATGGCTAGATGGAGAACCAGAGGAGAGAAAGAGCAATTAAGGGGAATGGTTTATAAAATAAATATCTAGCATGTGTACTATATACTTGAAACTAATCATAAAAAAAAGAGCAAAAGCTGTTAAATGTGCTAATTGTTTTATAAGGGGAAGCTAGTTAAGGAAATTACAGCACATTCAAATGATGGAATATTATGTAATCAATAAAAATCATGCTTTATGCTCTCAAAAAATACTTATTGGCAGGGCTAAAAGTTCATGCTTTACAGTGAAAAAAAGCTACAAGAAAGAGTATGTCTAACAAGATACCATTTTTTGTTTTGTAAATCTCTAAGTATAGGCACAAAATGTAGTAAAAAATTTGTACCAAAAAATTTGCAGTGGTCCTACGTGTTTTACTATATTTTTCTAAGTCTGTTCATGTTACATAGACCACATATTTGTTCAGTAACTTAAAAGAGCACACTAACGATCTAACAAATTGTATTAAAAGGAAATGTACATTTTATGCAAATCCTACACAAACCAGAAAAATAGCAAAATAACTAACTTACCCTGTTTATCTCAACGGTCCTTGGTCTCACATCTGTGGCTACAAATAATAAAGCAACATAATTAACTTTCTAAAATTAAGAGTTAACATATTTAAGATCTAATATTGTCTCATGAAAATGGTATCATTTTCTAGGCCTTTCAAGAGAGAACAGCGAAGCAAGCAGGCTTTATACCCTTTCTTAAAATCCAAACCAGCAGCCACTGATCAGGGGCTATATCTTCTACTTCAAAGACGTCCTCTCTGCCTGAGACAGATGTGGCCATAATCATTTGGTCTGACAGAAGCTGATGGACTGTAGCAGTAGCTGCCTGGAATATGGTGATTAAATGGTTTGGAGGGTGAGCCATTCGTGTTTCACTGTACATTTTTCTGCCTTAATCACAGATAACCCTCTACCCAAGGAAAGACTTAAAAAGACCCTTGCCATGCCCCACCTCAGTGGTACATGCACTTCTGACTTTCCTTGAGTGACCTGCAATTTTTAAATTTTTTCTTTGTAAACGGTTTTACTTTAGGAAGCACTTTAGATTTCCGCTTTTCTGCTTTTCATGTGATTGGTGTAAAGTTAAAGGCACATTCCAAAAATGAATCTTTATGGCTTTACTTCTTTTAGAACGGGCCTTTTACAAAGCTTGGGGCAAATGTGGCCAAGTTCAAAGACTTAAAAATATTTTAATTAAAGGTGAAAAGTTTTTTTTTTTCAGAAAATACTGACATTTTAAAAAATTGGGTAAATGGATGGTTGCTTGAAGCATGTCCAAGAAATACCTGAATTTTGGGGGGAAGGATCCGAAGCTCTTTTTGTGCTGACCAGGTTTTGCAGGCTGGTGATGACAGGCGCGAGGGAAGGATGAAAGCTGCTGTGTGTGCTACGCTGACATCCCTAAGAAGGAAACCCAGAGGTCAACTGTGCTGCAACACTGACTTGGTCTTAAAAATTCATACTTAGTATTTTAATTACTGAATAATAGAAAATTCTGAAGAGGCTAAAAAACAAAAATGATCCATACCCACTCTCTTACCACCCTAGCACAATCTTATCTAAAATTTTCTCCACTGCTATTAGTGAAAATCATATACATAACAAAGGACCTTTCCAATGCAGAACACCATATCACCGATAACGAATAAAGAAGTTTTTTCTTCCAAATTATATAGGTTATGTCTAATTGCCTCAAATTTTTAAGCTAAACCTAAGACTACAATTATCACCTGATAGATTATGTTATGATCCACTTTCTTAGTTCTAGGATGAAAATTGTTTAATATTTTAAAACTTTTCAAATATAAAAGAAAGTTAAAAGAATTATACAGTAGACTTTCATACACACAACACCTCGACTCTACAATTAATATTTTGCTATACTGTCCTTTTCACACATTCATTCATCTATTTATCACTTACTTGATCTTTAAAAAAAATTCATTTTGAAGTAGTTATAGACATTAGTACATTTCATGATTAATGTATACATTTAAAAGAATACGTATATATTTTTTCCTGAAAGGATATGATTTAAATCAATGGTGCTATAATAGAAAACTACTTAGAATCGAGGAAATACAGCATATTATAACTTTTGCCTAAAACAATCTCAGAACAATGTGTTTGCCAAGACCTTTATAAATACGGACTTTGCCGGGCAGTGTTCCCTCAGTTATCTGAGGAAAAGACTTCTCAAGTGTTTCCTCTATTATACACTTTCCTCTGCAGAACAGATACTTGTTCCTGGTTGTTGGGAAAAGACATTTTGAAAGAAGGGGCTTGGTGACCCCAAAGCTAGAAGATCTCTCTTAATGAACCCACTTTCTCTAGCCCAAGTCAACAAGTTAAAATTCTCCTTGGCCCCAAAGAAGGCATCTATCTCCCTATTTTATAATTTCTCAGAAAGAAATCTGTACCCTTAGAGGGTCCTGAGCTAGACTTGAATTTACGATGATGAAGAACATTTCCTTTACACAGCCAGCTGCAAGCATTCTCCCAACTAGCGAAATATCAGTGCAGAACTCTTGTATCACCACAGCCACAATTTTAAGGACAAAGTAAAATATATTTAATGTTTTTCCTAAAACTGAACTAAACTTCTACCCTCTGAAATAAAAATTCTGTGCAAGAAGGTGAAATTAAAGAAGATTCTTTGTCCCTGGTTTTCAAACTATAATAGCTCACATTTATATACCAGATAAATGGTAATTGTGGTTTTGCTGTTATTTAATGACAGAGCTCTTAAATTTGTTAGCACTGTATTTAACCTGTGAACTTTATTAATCGCTTCAAGGACAGAAATCCAGTTCTACTCACCACCTCACCTGCCGGTCCAAACTTTTCTTAAAACATTGAAATTCCTTGCAACCCTGTGTACCTTGGCATAGGCTACGTTCTCTGTCTGGGATGGCTTCTCCTTCTTTCAATCTATCGAACTTCTTTTGGAGTAAGACCTGATGGAACCTCCTCTGTGTAGCCCTTATGTATGCTCCAGGAAGAAAAGATTTTACCTCCAGTGTTACTCATTCTGCATTCTAACCTCCTGTGCACAATGAGGCTTTAATAAAATCAATCAACAAACAAATCTTCCATTAAGGAAGAGCTAAGAAAAATATTTTGCATCCTAAGTTGCCACTGTTGATACAAGTCTGGTCAGAATCACCACCAATTATTCACTCCTAGAATCCTGTTGCAGCATTGTGTCTTAGTACACATGATATTTGCTGCCCACTACATTAGCCAGAAATGCGAAAAAAAAAAAAAAAGTGCTTAACATGATGTGTATTGGGTTTGACTGCTTTGAGGAATCTCTTAGACAAGCCAGCTAGTCTGTGATATATCTGACAATGGTATTTTTCTTGACTCATTTTCTAACACCAATAAGGCAAAGGAGACAGCAAATAGCATTCCAGAAGCACCTGAGTGCTAACCACAACATCAGAGCATCCTCTGAACAAAGGCCTTGGAAAGGCTGTAAGCCTAAAACAACCAGAGAGGGGACCAAAAGTCATGCTTTTAACCTCAAAACACAGGTCCATCTATAACCTACAAAGGGGAATAGGGAGTAACATATAAGTTTCTACAGTTTTATTATATATCAAATGGGACTAAACATATAGTCTACCATTGTGATTTTTCTCAGCCATTACAATAATAAAAAAAAACAAACAGTAAAATATACTTTGTTAAAAAAAAAAAGTGGCACTTACATCAGCCTTGCAAATAAACATAGATGTTTGCTAACCACAAAACATCACCCATTAGTCCTCCCTCCCACAGGAGAAACCCTCATATTTCGTTCTCCTAGGAATATAGCATTAATTGCCCTCAGCATGTGTGAGTGGCTATTCACAAGTTAACTTTATAGCAATATTTAATTGAATGAATAGAACAATGTTGTGCTAATGAGGGTCAAATTGCCACCAGATGTTGCTTCTTTCTTTTTTTTTTAAATAAACACAGCTGTGTACATGCATGCTTAGGCAATATAGAACTAATGGGGGGCGGGGGGGAGAAAAGTGGTCCTAAGAAAACATTTGCAGGCAATAAAGGAGAGAAAAATCTAGGGATTAATGAATTTCCATCCCACCATTCATTTTTATTTCAAACACATTAAAATACACTGAACTTGGTATTGTGACTATTTTGTATATTACACATTATTTCCGAATAATCATTTATGAAATGAGGAACTTCCTCCCAGTGGGGACAGGTGAGTGAGTCAGTCTGACAGGAAGCCATCACAACCTGACTGTTCCGTGATGTCTTCCTCGAGGAGGTCCAGGAACCAGCTCGGAGCCTTCCAATCTCTAGCTGCACAAGCCCCTGTGCACACTTAGGAACAAAAGAAAAGAAGTGAAAAAACAGAAGCATTTATGTTCTAAATTATCACAGCAGAGCTTCCTCTCATCTCTGTGGCCAAGAATCATAAATGAGTGATGAACACTATAGGCAAACAGGAAATTCAGTAACCAAAAAATCATACAAAATAACAAAATGTATCAATGGTATTCATCTCATGACTTCATACCTTCTTTAAACCTGTTAAAGGACTACATTTGAATTCACCTCTTTTCCTTTTCCTTCCTAATGGTCAGTGAAATAACTAAGGAAAAATGGTGAAAAGGAAGACAGAAAAATCAAAGATAGATGTAATCTACAAATACAAATCCTCTCTTGAGTAATCATTGATAGTTGACTATATTAGAAAATCAGGATTTTAAAAGAAACAAAAAATTCATTTGTCTTTGCAAAAGCTTCCACAGCTATTCGTGAAACAAAATAAAATGCACCTGGTTGTAGCTGAATGGAAATTTATAAGAATTTTTATTAACCAGTTTCCTCCAAAGGAGGGTAGGGTCCATGTGGCAGAGACACTTGGAAGTGAATTTTGAACCTTGGCATCTCTACAGCTTCAGGGAGAGACAGCCTGGGTGGTAGGAAAACCACTCAAGCAGAGCGTTGTGATCTTGAGAACACCATTCTACTTTTCAAACTTCACTTGTGAAATTGGAGGAATCGGTCTAGATAGTTTTTAACATTTCTCCAAGCCATAAAAGCTGGATTTGATGTATCCACAGTAATATGCTCCCTGACAGCCCTAGAGGGAGGGGGATAAATTTTGTTACTCCAGGAGAGCCCATCCTATCAAATGCATTTAGAAGACAACTGTGGATACTTGGAATTTTCACAAGAATGAAAATATAGCTTAGAAACCCCAAAGCAGGGTTCTCTTCAATCTTGCTAGTCAATATAACAGCTTTCTTTTAAAGCTATTCCTGGTTGGTTAAAATAGTCAGGGATTAGACTTCAGGTAAAAACTAGAGTTGGCATAACATCCAACCCATTTTACAACCCAGCTAGATCAGAACTGTTCCCACCAGACTTCCGTTGTGCCAACTAGACAGAAAGCAGCCTATGGACTCACCTTGAGGATAGTGGCCACTGTTTCCTGTGAGGCATTTCTCACGTCCTCTCCATTCACAGATAAGATCTGATCTCCCTGAATCAATCTTCCATCAAGGTCTGCAGCTCCACCTTTCACGATGTCAGAAATAAACACTCCACTTCCATTTCTGTGAATACCAAAAGAAGTGGGTACTGGTACAACTTAATGTTCCTTTATTATATTTCAGATTATTGATATTCTGTATAGATTCACTAAGTCCTAAAACTATTGATATTCTGTATAGATTCACTAAGTCCTAAAACTTAGTGAATCTATACAGAATATCAATAATCTGAAAGAAGGGCCCTATGAAGCCATCTTAGTGAATCTATACAGAATATCAATAATCTGAAGAAGGGCCCTATGAAGCCATCTAATCCAATAATATCTACTAACTTCCCAAATGATAAACCTCAGAGTGGTCACACTTTATATAGTTTATGCCTATTTTTGCTGCCTATTGTAATATTCGTTTTATTGACCCACAGGCATAATTTCTGCAAGAGGATAATTTTAGTGAAATGAAATAGAAATTCACTTTAAAAAGTGGAGTTAAGTACTCTAAAATGTACAGGCTGCTTCCTTAGAGATCAGTTCAATTTTTAGCTTCTAATTTTCTAGTCTCTCACACTCTCTTTTCCTGACATCATTTTAAGGTTTTAATTATATTTATTTGATGAATAAATAAATGGATGCCTCAAAATTCTAGAAGTTAAAAAGGAGAGACCTTCAAAAGTTTCCCTCTCACCTCTGTTCCCCAGTCTCCAAGTTCCCTTCTCACAGGTAAGCAACGCTACCTATTTCTTGGGTATCTCCAAGGGACATTCTGTGTTTACACAAGAAATCTATGTGTGTATAGTGCACATGTGTGTGAATGGATATACATGCAGATACACACTCCCATTTCCCTCCAGTTTTGTTTTCTTTAACTTTGCTTTTTTTTTTTTTTAACTTAATACACTTTGGCAATTAGTCCTTATTGGCACTTGGAGAGCTTCCTCATTGTTTCTTTATTTTATTTTATTTTATTTTTTTATGGCTGCATACTATTCTACAGATGTCCCTTAATTTCACTTATAAGTATTGACGGACACACAGGTTATTTCCATTCTTTAGCTATTGCAAATAAGGTGCAATGAATAACATATCTACAAGCACATTTCTAGGATAGATCCCTACTCATAGAATTACTAGTCCAAGAATTGTAAATTTTGAGAGCTTAAACATCTGATCCTTTACAATGGAACGTTTTTGTGCGAAGGAATGTTCCTTAAAAACTCGATCTGATATACTAGTGTTTGAAGATTATTTCGTCAAACGACTACGAGGAAATATTCTCAGTGGAGTCTCCTAGGCACAGGTACGTGTCACAACAAGAAAGCAAACTTCCGCATAGCCTCTTTCAGTTGCTCTGCACCCAGATGTGCCCTAATTTTGTTTAGAAATATGAGTCTCTGCTTATTTGTTTTGTAACGCATTTTCAGGGTGATGGTTTTATGGTGCCAAAATAAAAAACAAGACCATGAAAATTCTAGTGCTCAAAATACGGTAGCTAACGTTTTTATTTTAATAACAGCTTGGACTGCTAGAAAAAAGCACTAGGCTAGTTATCAGAGGTCTGTGAGGGCACATGACATAATATATGTAAAACCGACTTGAATTCTTCCTAAGAAGATGATAAAACCCTTTGAGACCATATTATAGTGTTATCTGAAAATCCTGCAACCTGTCGGAATAAACCCACACCATATATCTAAGGCCAGTAAACCATGGAAGCTAGAATTGCAGTTTCAAGGTATTACCTAATTTACTGCAAGAGAAATCCACTAATATCACCTAGGACAATTACTGTAATTCCCATCATATGGGTAAGCAATATAGACTTCAAAAGAACAGCCTAGCCACCAGGATCTACCTTCATTTTTGGTGCAAGCTATAATTTTGTGACATCTTTCTGAATAGAAAATTATCATCATGAAGAATTTGTGTCCCTCAACTATGTCTATTCACCTAGTTTTAGTAACTCCTCAACTAGTTTTAGTAACATAGTATGAAATTAACATGGTACTCTATGGCAGAGCAAATTTTTTTTAACCCAAGAGTGCATAAATATATCTTTTGGTATTAGTTGTTTCCTGGGTATCGTTGATTTAACTAACCCCATTCAGACCTCAGATCTAAGTGACTATTCTTACTCTATGTGGAAATAAGTCTGAACAGTCTAGGTTGATTGGGTTTAGAGTTTTATCTTGATATGACTTTTTTTTTGTAAAATATTGCTCAGAAATATGACCTATGTTGTTCAAATATTCATAAATGTGTTAATTTTAGAAATCATATTATTAGTTTATACTAGGCTTTATCCTTCATTGTTTATAGGCATTAGTTCCTAGAAATCTGAGGGAAAAAGACCAATCAATCCTGACTTGCGCAGCATTTTTTTTTTACCTTTTCCCAACGATGCTCAGGCCCAGTCCTCGGCCGGTCTTCTTCTGCAGGTCTACAGGGAAAATCTCCAAGTTCTCCTCGTCCCTGTAGTGTGCCTCATCTCTATACACGACCAATCGTACCTTCTGGGGGGTCTGTCTCAGGGCTGTGATGGCTTCTTCGTGGCAGGCGCTCCTCAGATCAACCCCATTAACCTGAAACAATGGGCATCCAAGATGGGTTGCTGACAGCAGGGGCCTCTCTGCCTGCTCTGTTTGCTGGGGCTCCTAGATCCAGCCAGTGAATAACCTCTAGAAATGTCCAGCCATTTCCAAAGTACACAGGTAGTGACCATTAGCAATTGTAGCTGCTTCAAATATAAAGGAGGTGACCCTTATACTCCCCCACTCCAAATAAGTACCCATGATCATGCAATTTTGCACAGCTTGAACTTTACTATGGATTTGACAAGAGAGAGAGAGCTGGGACTAACTGGCTCATTTAACTGAGGTCAAGGGAAATAAATATTGGTGTTTTGTCAGCATTTTTAGACTCAGTTTGCTTACTGAATTTGACATCCTCACTTTTAATTGCTGACATCACAACTACAGAACAGGCCAGAAGAAATGAGGGACCAGTATTTCCAACGGCATCCAAGATCCCCTAAAGTTCGCTCATTAGAACCTGGAACTGAGTGAGCACAGATAGCATTACACATGAGACAACAAATTGTACTGGAAACAGCACTGAGGAAAGCCATGACTATGCTTCTTGCAAGTCACGTGAATGTGGCCAAGTCACATAGCCTCTGTGAGCCTCTATTTTCTTGCTTGTTAAATGGACACCATAGTCAACTTATTTATCTTTTACTTAACAGATATTTATGTAGTGCCCGTGTACTAGCCCTTTATGAATATTTATTCATTTAATCTTTACACTAACTGTCTGAAATAGATACAATTACCACTTTACAGATGAGGAAAATGAAGCATGGAGAGGTTAAGTGACTGGACCAAGGTTATAGAGCGAGTAGGTGGAGGAGCCAAGATTTTAACCAGATTATCTTTCCAGACTTTCTTTTTGGTCTTTATACCATGCTGCCTCACAATTTACTCTTAGAATAGGTTATTGAAACCCCTTGCCACAAAGAAGGCCAAGTACTGGTATTGGTTAGTGAATTTGATACAAGGAAGAAATTGAGGGGCAGAGTAGTCCAGGACTCAAAGGAAGGGAGTCATAGGTCACTCCTTCAAGGTCACAGCTATGAAAAAGAGTCAAGCAAAGGAAGGATGGGCCCAGGCTATGGCCAGGTAGATGGCAGAATGGAAGAGCTCCCTCATGATGTTGGTTCCAGCCACGTGTCCACCCCTGTGTGTCCTAGGCAGGTCGAGCCTATCTCTGGACCTCTAGTCCTTCGTCTGTACAGTAAGGGGCTGGTCTGAAGCTTTTCCAGTTCTAGCATTCGAAAGACTAAGGATTCATATCATCAAGAATGGTGACAAAGAAAGGAGAAAAGAAGAATAAGCCCTTCTTGGAGAAGGTGACCTTTGAGCTGTTACTTAAAGCTGATTTTGTGAGTCAAGAAAATGTTTTAAAGTCTAATTTTTAAGTACTTTTTCTTTTCTGGTATATCTTGGTGGATTTGTATACTCAATTCACTATACCTAGAATAACAGTAGATAAGTATGGGTTTCAAATATAGATAGACTTCAGTTTGAGTGCTGCTTCAAACTTACTATGTGAAACCTTATGTAAATTACTCAAGCTAAGCTTCTACTGTATCATCTGTGAATTGGAGATAATAATGGTAATAATATTTAATCTTATGAGGATTAAATGAAATAAACCCTGTAATGCATTTGGCACAGGGCTTGGCACATAGTTAAACTCACTATAAGTTCAAAGTTTACATTTTACAAGGAATTGAAGTAACTGCCATCAGGGCTGATTTCTCTTAGCAATCAGCATTCACTGTTACTTTAGGCCCATGAATGCACTCTCCTTGTTTGTGAGGTAAAAACCACAGAACAAAGGGAAAAACAGTGTCTCTAGAAAATGTGGTCTGAGCTGATGATTCTCCTGTATTCCAATAGATGGCACACAAGACCACTTCTGTTACTCAGTTGGAAAAAAGTTACCTCCATGGATTGAAGGTGAATTGTCTAAGCCTCTAAAACATCTTTTGAAAGGCCCTAACAATTATACTTTTAATTAAAAGCATCAAACTCTAATATTATAAAAGCAATTTATACTAAATTCCAGCATCAAGATGTCTGTTCAAATCAAAGTGATCTCCGAGTTCAGAGTTTTCATTTCCTTCTCTGCTCATCAAGAGATACCGCTAAATGCATAATACTCCTAAGAGAAATATTGCTGTATGGCTAGAAAACTGTGCAGTTACGTATTACCTTAAGTGCCTTACAGAAGCACTATATGCATTATTTAGAACATTGATTGTAGAGGGGTAGGGGTGGGAATAGGAGAGCTCCCTATTTGAGAAGAAGAGTCATAGGAAGTCCCAGTTCTCTGTGGAAGTGTATCACGTCCCTAGAACAGGCCAGTGGAAAAGTGGGAAGAATAACCAAACTAGGGCAGCAGTTCCTCGTTACTTTATTCCACAGGGAAATCCAGGCATTAGCCTTCTATTCTTTCTACTCCCAAACACAAAAATAGAAAGGAATAATGGGAGTAAAGGTAACGTAAGTGGAGGAAAAGACTCTAAAAGAAGAATCAGAAAGAAGACAGTCCCTGCTAATCACAGAATTATAAATTTTGCCATGCTAAAAAATTATTGGACTATATCTTTGTAAGCAAAATCTGGCTTGCCCTAAATTTAACATGAGGATAGTAGTAAAGCCATGGAAGGCCAGCATGCACAATGCAGAGGACCCTCGTAAACAGAAAGGCCGTTGTTTGCAAAAGCACTGATGTGGAGTTGCTTTGTTTCATGGTCTCAAAATATACCACACCAAAGCTGGCCTGTCTTCTTCTCAAGGCAACCTGCAGGCCACAGGTTGATCATGCATTATTATGCATCTCTAGACAGCAACCACAATTAGAACAAGTTCGAATGTGGGGTCTAAAGCGGCTTAGAAAGAAAACATGCTGCTTGTCCAAACTGAGAGTTATATTTCTTAACTATATCTTCTTGTGGCCTAGATCCTGTTTAGGGTAAGAAAAGATCCTGTCCTGGTCATCTTTAATGATAAGTGGAGGCCATCCATCCATATTAGGTAATATAATTCAGCTAGATGCCAAGAAATGACTTATTTGACCTTTCAAATTCTCCTTCTACTTAAAAAAATTTGCTTTCTTCATGCTAACCTGTCCTGAGTGCTCACTTGAACATGAATATACTTTATGGAAGACAGCAGCTACAGTTGAGTGTCTATCCAATACAAATAGATAAAGTTAAAAAAAATTTTATTGAGGTATAACTGTTATGAAATAAACTATACATAAAGCGTACAATTTATACTGTTAATTTATGTGGATTTATACCTGTGCAACCATTGCCACAATCAAGAACATACACATTTAGTTTCCAGTAACCACTATAGAATAATATGTCAGCTCACAAATCATTTAACTATCAATGCATTTATGCATCTTTACTCTTTTGAATATTCAATCCATTCATCTTATAAAGCCAATTATGACATGATCTGTTAATTAGAAAATCTAGGGAGAAAAAAACACCCCCAAATTCCTGACCATTAAAAAATGGTGTTGTATGCTAAAGCAGCCAGTTCCCAAAGAGGCCTCGCTTATTTTTCTAACCTCATACACTTGTACCTTAATGAATGTACTGGGAATACGTCCTAATCCAATGATAAAGCACAGTAAAGGCCTGCAGAGAAATCCTATAACTCGCCCAGAATTTAATTTGCAGTCAGCCTGGTCTCTCTTTTAACTCCTTCTTGCCTATATTTTCTGCCCTTAATTATATCTCTGGTTTCATCTTGGGAGGCGGACTTGAACCACCAAAGGGAAATATAAAATAGTATGATGTCATTCATATCGTGCTATATTAAAGTCGCAAAGCAAAAATGCACATGCCCGCCATAAAATGTTAACCGTTCAATTAAATTCATCCAATGAAAGAAATAAATGTTGCCTAAAGGTTTCACACCATTGAAAAAGCTCTTTAGTTCCACCTACCAGAACGCCTGGCATTGACTTTCCATTCATCCGTTCCCCTTTTCAGACACTGCCTGCCTTGGCACTTTTTAAAAGGCTTTAACGCCTTTGCTAAATGAGAGTCCATTTGAAAGAGGCAAGTTAAGCATTTCAATTTTTAATAAGTACCATATACCACCTAAAGGGAAAAGATTCTATGTTTTCACCAACTAGAAAACAAGAGTGGCAAGGCATGAATCTCCATTTGACTTAAAGATTAGGAATGAGAAAATAATACTTAAAGCTGCAGTGAAGTCTTTAAAATATCAGGTGTACATGTTTATGTATAAGTGCTTTTGGGAGAGAATTTAGTAAGGTGTAATGGAGAGGCAAAAAAAATATCTAGCTATAATATTACACAGTCTCACTTGACATTAATATCATAAAACCATAACTTGTACTTTTAATTAAAAAGTTTTCACAGGTAGATTTTGACTGATAATGTCATGATGATTCTGACAGTTATTCAATGTACATTAAAAACAGAAAAAAAAGGTACATGTTTTCTTAAATGAGAGAGAAATAAGTGCAGATATCATTGAGTAGAAGATAGTGAATAGATAAGCTGTGCATTAGGTCAGTAAAGGAACTATATTTATTGGTATAAAATAAAATTCATAATCATATACCTCTAATATCTGGTCACCAGCCCAAAGTCTTCCATCTCTGGCTGCTGCTCCTTCCTCATAAACTTCATGTATAACTATAGCATCCTATGAAAAACAAATTCTTAATAATTTTCAACAACCACAAATGTTTCCTTAAGCAAACCACCAAACCATAGGCAGCAACCCATAATTTGCTATTTGCTAATAATGTGATATTTTATTTGACCTAAAGATAAACAAAATACACAGTTATGACATATTCAGAGGTATAATAAATTTTTCCTAAGTTTATTATTTCATTGCTTTAGGCCTGGCTTTGTCTAATATTTCAAGTTAAACTTCCCCCATGTGTTTTACCGTTAACCCTGTACATTGCTGCTGTGTATGAACTTCAGGTGAACTATGTGTCATTCTTATTTATATTTTATGATATATTTTGAAACATGGTTTCAGGTATTTATTGGTATTCAAGGATTTGGCATAGATGTGTGGCCTGATAAAGGGGGTTTGTCAGGCCTCATTACTTGGGCAATGAAATAAAGGAACGTAGTGGAATGAATTGGCCCTGGAGGACAAAGCATGGAGTAGGGAAAAGAGCATTCGTGGACCTAAGTGTAAGACAGCTGTGGGTTCGAATCCTGACTCTGCCATTGTGTAATCTGGGGCAAATTAACTTCTGAACTCAGCATTCTGAACCATAAAATCACATCAGTATCTAAGGTAGGTAAGCTTTGGTTGAGGAAAGTGTTTTATGGTTAATGAATTAAAAAAATAATTTGTATCTCTTCAAATAAATAATCTCAACTTTTTTATCATCATAAAAATAACATGTACCAATGTAAAGGCCTCAAGCAATACCACAGAGCACAGTAAATGCAGAGACTGCCTACCACACCAGGCACTCACTGACACTCCCCAGAGACAACCACCATCAAGTTTCATCAGGATCCCTCCAGACAATTTACATTTCTACACCCAAATACTTATATGTTTTCGGGACACTATTTTAAAAATATTTGATTGAGTTTGTTCATATCATTTTCCTCCCTCATGTTGAGGAAGTAGTTGAGCTTTGAAATTTCTTGCCTCATGGATTTTTGCAGAGCTGAAAACTGAAGCAGCCAGAAATCATTGTTTTTTTCTGTTGCTTATAAAACTGATGGGCACTGAAAAGATGTTGAATAGATTATACTAGGTGTCTTGGAGGGCCTCTGGGAAAAGAGAAAAGCTTTTGAGTTGAGACAAGAAACACAGATCTGTGGGTCTCATCAGAGGTAAAGATTTGAGCCCTGCACTGCACAGTAACTTTCCATTCTCCCACTCCCCCAGCAAAAACACAGGTTTCAAAACCTCACAGGCAATGGTCAAGGGGGACGGGCTCAAGGTATAATGATCCAACCTTAAATGAAGTCCAGTTTCCCAAGCACTGGGGCCTGGAAGCAGCAGGGCTTCTGTTCCTAAAGAGATCATGTAGGCTTGGATACATATGGCTTGATGATTACATGATGGACCAATGACAATGACCGCAGGGGCCTGCCTACCCATGTCTGGGATCTTTATGAAGAAACTAGAACTCTGAGAGTTAATGAGCCACCAAAATGATTAATGTTGAATTATGCCTTACTCCAGAAGTATGGAGCCTCAGAATTAGAATTATGTTGACATTAATAATGAAATATTTCTTGCAAAAATATAACAAGACAGGGAAAAAAAAATCTGAACCAAACTTACTTCCTTAAAAAAAAAAAAAAAAAAGGTTCCCACACAAATTCTGGAGTAGAGAAGCAACAAAAGAAAATAAGAGGTTTATAACCATAGGACACATCTGGATTCCAAGTATCTTTATAATATTAAATCCTTTCATCTTATCATCCCACAGCTCTGAAAATATTCTTTATTACAGCAATTAGAGAAGTAGCCCCCAAGAGCCAGGAAAGGTTCCTTGATCCAACAATTTACATTTCAGATTCTGTACCAGCAACAGATTTAGACCATTCTTCGTTGTAACTGACTTAGGAAATTTCCAGACCCAGGGAGTATTTACATTGCCAAGAGCTTGTTCCTCTGAACTGTTTCTGGGGAATGGTTCTGAGGAAACCATTCCTGGCTCAGTGGCTTGAGGTGATCCCAACAACACTGCCAAGATGACACCAAGGGCAATTTTTTTTTTTTTTCAAGGTTGTACAGGTAAAAACTAATGCAAACTCCTGTAACACCTTGTGTAATGCCAGTTTTCAAAGTTTGGTGGTCAAACACCCTATCCTCACTGGATGGGAGAATCAGACTGAACTCATACTACACATGGTTTTCACAGAGCTTAACTTTCAGCATAAACTCCTTTGATCTTAGAACAGTACAAAGTTAAATGAGAATTTCTCTTCATTCAGACTCAAAAGGAAGGAAGGAAAAGAATCCGTAAAGTTTTTATTCCATAAAGGTAGCCTGACTTCTGAGATACTTTCTGGGTGCTCAATGAACTGTTACACATAAAATAAATATACTGTTAATAGTCTCAAATAAATGCTGAACTCATTGCCAATGATCTATTTTTGGTCCATGAGTCTTTCTGTATGAAAAACTCCCCATTTCTTTCTTTCTTTTTGCTTGGCTACTGCTCTGATTTCTCTTAAAGTTACCAGGGAAAATACAAAAAAACATGAGACACTCTGACCTATCAATAGAAAAAGCCCATATTTCTTACCATGTGCCCTTGTGTGCTGAAAGTGTTCTATAAAACTGCGGTTCTGGACAGTTGCATTAACTGAGGGTGATAGAGGTGAGAGGTGGGGACCAATAGTTAAATTAGACATGTAGGCCGGTGAATTGAAAAGAAAAATGGATTTGAATTATTCTTCAAAAGTTATGCAGTTCACAGAGTAGGACAAAATAGTAAAAAAGATACTAGATTGAGAGATATATAAGCATCTATTTGACAAGGCTACATTAAAATTTTACTTCTTGTTTTGGAAAAATTGTGATTAAGTGAAATAATAGGTCATTAATGAAAGACTTTTATTATTTTAAATAAAAATTTGGAACTGATGATACAAATGATTCTTATCTCCTCCCATAATCCCTTAAATTTTAATGCTCTGAAATTACTCATGCAGAAATGCTTGTTGATACAGCTCTGTGTGCCTTCTCCCCAACCAGCCCCACTTCCTGTCTCTGCATATTTAGATAACATTCTTTCACCCAGAAAACTTCCATGACTGTCTACCAATACTGATGTCTTCTAAAACTCAACTATTCTGGAAGCAGTCTATTCATCATTTGCCTGGAGGTGGGTTGCTGGCTTATGCTGAGGAGAGGCAGTAGAGACAAAAGATTGAGGTAAGCCTCTGGAGTCAAACTTCTCGGTCCAAATCCTGGCCCTGCTACTACTGGCCATGGGCCTTGGGTAGACTGTTAACCAATCCTGGCTTTAGTGTCCTCATTTTTGTATGGTTTTAACAATATTATTTACACCCAAGGCTTTATGTGCAGTTATGTGCAGCACATAGTCAGGGAGTGATAACATCTCATTTAACATCTATGTGCCAAAAATGCTACACACTTCCCATTTTGTGCCATTTAATACACATAACAACTAAGCAAGTTTGGTATTATTAGTCTCAATTACACTTGAAGAAACAGAGGTTCAGAAGAGTTCAGACTTGACCAGGTCTTTGCAATTTCTATGTAGGAGAGATTAAATTCCAGCTCAGGACTATTTAATACCAAAGCCTGTGTTCCTACCACTATAGCAAGCTTCTCATCTGTTTTGAATATTTTATTTTGCACTTGTACAAAAGTGAACTTGGGATTTTCCATATGGCACCAATTCTGCTGAAATATTGTCTTCTCAACTCCACAGCAAAAACCTTGAGGGCATGAGCTGATTATTTTATACAGAGTGAACAAAAAGACGACTTGTAGACGTGAAAAAGGAAGTCTTTGGCTTAATGAGCTGGGGTGATGATCTATGGATCTCACTTGCTAGTGTTGGTACATGAACAGGGGTTTGCACTACACAAAGCATGATGGGTAGGTCCTCTCCCTAACCCAACATGGAGTTTCTCTCTTAATTCCATTTGTTATTCTTGTCTCTTTCTTTTCTTTCATCTTTTCAATCCTGTTTCTGTGTTCCCATATTATTCACGGAATGACGTTTTTTTCTACAGGAATGGTTATAAAACATTATAATAGATAAAAGCGATAAATTGATGTTTAAAAAGTTGTTATATCCAAGAAAAGATTTCTCTAAATTAATGGCATAGACTTGAGAATCATTTATAAACATATAGATAAATGAATCAATATAACCAATACTAACTTCCTCTTGGTAGTTGTGTGATTTTCACCAGGACAACAGAAATTTAAGTAAGATGGTCTGTTTACTTACTGCCTGAGATAAGACTAACATTTTCCCTCTAGATATTCTAAATTACTCATTTGACTTGCCAACTCTAGAGCTAGAGAAGAATTTGATCGGTGAGTTAAAGAATCTCTCAAATATTGGGTTTTCTCTATTTAGAAGGGTTAGGCAGGATTTTAGAGACATAAAAAAAATCTTCTGCTTTAAAACTTCTCCTTCACCAGTCTATGTCTGAAACACATTTAACTGAGAAAAATTCCTTTATGCCATAATTAGGGATACCATTAAAAAAACAGACACCCAGGAAGAAATAGCTGGATAGCAAATTCATCATATCGTTTAAAGGACCACTGTCTTAATGTCTCCATTCCCAAAAGAATAAGTATTTATTTTTAAATATAGATAACACACACATGGTATTAGATTCAAAATAGCAATGAAAAGTGTCCCTCAGCTACTCAGTTTCCCTAATTAGAAACAAACAGTATTAAGTTTCTTGTGTATTTTTCCAGAGATATTCTATATATCTATATTTGAAAAGTATGAAGGGCACCAAATGCTTGAAGGACATGTCTTTTTTAAAAAAATCTGCTACCTCTTTTGCTTGAATCAGCCACGTGCCCCCTCTCCTATGAAACTTTCTGACTCCTCCAGGTAAGCTGATCAACACTACCTGTGGGTCACTGTTTTATCTCTTAGTATTATTAAAGTTATCACAGTATCACAATAGCTTGCTATGGATCTAGGT